GTTCGTTGTTATAGCGTTTGTTTAGCGCGATTGTTGAAGTTGAGTGTATCGGTAAAGTTATATTCAGAAAGAATAAACCAGTTTTTATTAAGAAATAACTTGTGTCGCTTAAGTTTCGTCGGAACGAAGTTACGGAAAATCAATTAACAAACGGAGACGTAACAGTATCCTCCTTGTATAAAAGACAAAAACCGTCCTTTAACGTATCTAATTCGCTTTTAAATTTAATAATGTTTTCCATTTGTACTCTTGCCACTGTTGTAGTCTCTCTTCTTGTTTCTTTTCTTTTTCCTCCAACAAGTGCTGTAACTTCTTTTCTTGTTTATTTTTTCCCCTCCAACAACTGCTGTAATTTCTCTTCTTTTTCCTCCAACAAGTGCTGTAACTTCTTTTCTTGTTTATTTTTTCCCCTCCAACAACTGCTGTAATTTCTCTTCTTGTTTATTTTGTTGTTCGAGCTGCCATCGTTGCAGGTTTCCTTGCAACTGCTGTTGTCTCTCTTTTTGTTTCTTTTATTTTTCCTCCAACAACTGCTGTAATTTCTCTTGTTTATTTTGCTGTTCGAGTTGCCATTGTTGCAGGTTTTCTTGCAACTGCTGTTGTCTCTCTTCTTGTTTCTTTTCTTTTTCCTCTAACAACTGTTGTAATTTCTCTTCTTGTTTCTGTATTGCTGCCATCAAATGTGGTCGGCGGGGTAAGCCAAAAGTGGCTTTGGCGTTATCACGGTCCAGGACATTTCACTTGGGATGAAGTGGACAACAGAATAAATGACGCTGCTGAAGACGTGCCACCTGAAGAAGCCACCGTCGAAGAAGAAACTCTACTCAGTTTTGAGAAGGGAAACGGTGAAACTCTTGATGAAGTTACTACCACTGATGTAACTGTTACTGACGATGGGACATTTCCTGATGATGCAGATGAACTCCACATGAGGCAGAAGCCAACGAGACGAAGACCAGTACGGAAGAAGATACGTCCCATAAAGTCAAGAGACTTTGTTGAATTGTAATTTTGTGTTTGTAATTCTGTACATTTTAATTAAGTTAGTGTTATTGGTTTATTGTATGCGGTTATTGTTCGGGACGAACAATACTGTTGCGTCATCGAGGTCACGTGACTGGTGTGGCGCCACCTATTTTCTAGAACTATCCTGTACCTTGGCGAATGCTCTAGCATTTACTAGATATAGGGTAGCTGGTATATATAAGATGGTCACAGCGTGACGGGACAATGTGTGTAGGTAGTGAGGAATTGAACTGCAGGCAGGAAGTATTGTTAAAGTTAACGTTCGTTGTTAAATCGTTTGTAAACGAGCGACTGTTG